CCATTACAAAATCAAATAGGCAATAGGATTCCACGTTGCCTGGATGAAACCCAGCAGGATGAATAAAAGAAACAAGCCGCCCAGTGAAGGAAGAGAAGGAGAGGACACAAAGGAAAAGTACAAGAATGACAGCAAATCTACTCACTCGATTTTCTCTGGAAGTTCGTTTTGGGTCATGCCCACACAGTTGACCAAAATAGTGATTGTTATAAATAAACTGAACCACCTGAGAGGCCTGTGTTAAGGAAAAGCTGAGAGTCACCATGTTTTCCACATGTCACTCACGATCACCTAGACACCTGAATTGATTAAATTCGTAACTCTTTCCTGGGATCAGCTTTACGGTCTTGTCACATGACAACTGCTAACACTTACTGAGTGCCTACCCTGAGGTGAAAACTTCATCCACGTTACTTCCAATACAACAAATCTACAGGTGGATATTATTATCTACCCATTAGAGCTAAGAAAACAGGCTGACAAAACTTGAATATTTTTCCAAGGTCATACAGATAGTCAACCATGGCGCTGAGATGTGGACTCAGACTGCAAGATGAAAGGAAACAGAATCTGTTCCAAAATGTTCTTCTGCCTTGACATCTGCATTTCTCTATACAGTATGGCCTGAAATTTCATCCTGCAAATGTCTTTTTTCCTAAAAGACAAAGAGAATGCTATGGTCCCCCTTATCCATGGTTTCATTTTCTGCCATTTCAGTTAACCATAGTCAGTGGTGGTCTGAAAATATTAAATGGTAAATCCCAGAAATAATTCGTAAGTTTTAAATTACCCATCATTCTGAGTTAGCTTGATGACATCTCAGCCATGCTTCTCTCTCCCACCAGGGACCCCCAACCATCAACATTGTTTCTTTTTTTTTTTTTCAGTGGTGTGAACTCAAGACCTCATGCATGCTAAGAACACAGTCTACTACTTAGCTATTTCCCTCCCCACCGACACTGTATGCTTCTGACACCCAACCATCAACATCATCATGTCCCCATAATACAAGATCACCCGAAGCAGATGATCCTCCCTCTGATTTATGGTCAGAAGGTCACTAGCAGCCTGACGCTGTGTCACAGTGCCTATGTCATTCACCTCACTTCATCTCATCACGTGGGTTTTATCTCACCTCACATCATCACAAGAAGAAGGATGAGTAGAGTACAGTAAGAAATTTTTAGAGAGAGATCACATTCACCTAACTTTTATTACAGTATTTTGTTAGAATTGCTCTATTTTATTATTAGTTATTGTTGTTAAATCTTTAACTGTGCCTAGTTTATAACTCAAACTTTACCATAGGTAGATATGTATAGGAAAAAACGTATATATGGGTCTGGTACTATCTGTGGTTCCAGACATCCGCTGGGGGTCTGGGAACATGTCTCCAATGGATAGTAGGGGATGACTGTACTCCTAGGAAGTCAGAGATAAGGGGAGGGTTGCAAGTTTCATGGGAATTAGGTTAGTCAGATTGTCTGAGATCAGTCACACTAAGGAAATGGACATCTGGTTAGGAATGGTGGAGGCAGCACAGGGAAGTGAAATGCTGGCTCAAGGAGAACATTCCAAACAGGATTAGGCTGTCATGGAGAACTCTGAATAGCAAGAGAGGAGAATCTTACAGGAGAGGTTGGGGACAAAGGGATTACAAGAAAGGGAAGGAGACACTGAAAAGGAAGGTGAGTGGAAGAGGGTAAATAGATGGAGAAGAAATGTTGATAGGAAAATCCAAAGACAAATTTCTCCCACTGGACTTTTTTTTGAGGACTAGGCGGGTTCCTAACAGTTACTTTCTAAAGAAAGACAACGCCTGAAGAGAAACTTGACCTACAGAGAGAGTGAACTACTCATCTTTCATAATTTCAATTTGAGCAGAAGTATCTAAATCTATTTTAGGTTTCTGTAAATGCCTTTAATGTGCCCTGTTTTGCAGTTACTTAGGAACACATCTATTTTGAAAGGGGAAATTCTACTAATTAAGCCACATTTTCCTGTTGACTTGCAATTAAATTAAGAAATGTGTTCACATAGGGGGAAATGTTAACCCAAGGATTAAATTAAAATCATATCTCCAACTCCACAAGCCTTTGGAAGAATTATGATTTATTCTGATAATATTGCTTATGAAAACATTCATAGCAAATATGATTAGAATTATAATTTTGGTGAAATATTAATAATAGGACATTGAGAATTCCATACCTTGAAGAATATTTTGGGGGGCTGGAGCTACCAAATTCATGATATCTAAATATATAAATGCAGATTTTTATGAGGAGACCCTTAATAGCTTTTCTGTCTGGCTATGACTCCACCCAGAAATTATTTACTCATCAAGTCTCAAGACAAAAAGCATATTTACTGGTTACTTGGTTCTTTAAGGGGATTTTATTTCTAATTAGTTGTTTCTTACTGAACTAGATGTAATTCAACCAGGATAGATGAAGAGGTATTTGTATATTTGCTATTTTTATTTCTAATTTTTATGTAATTGTATATATTTTTAAAAACACCCAAGTAGAGATAACATACTGAGAGAATAGATTACTCTAATTTATTTCCATTAACTGCCTACTTCCTTATTGCTGATACTGCTCTAAGCAAGAGGTAGGCTGGACCTTATAACAAGCTGTGTGACCCTGGACAATTAATTTAACGCCTCTGAGTATCAGTTTCATCATCTGTAAGATGAGGATGCTAATCCCTTCTTCAGGGGTTTCTAAACCTGTGACAATGTTGATGCTTGGAAGATATTTAGCAAATGGGAGCCTAATATTATCATTAAATACTCTTCTACAGCATTAGGAAAGCCAAGATTGAATGAAGAAAATAGAATTCCCACTAGCTGGCAATAAAGATAAAGCACGTAAAGGGAAAATGTAATGCAACTGTATCAAGCAGTGCAGTTCCATGTTGAGATGACTGTGCCAGGTCTGCCAGCTCACTGAGTGCTGTCCAGCGATCCAGCAAGCTGCCCCAGAGGGTAAGGAGAGAGCTCCTTTAACTGCACCCTCCCTAAGAAAAGGCTGGCTACCATCTGCCAGGCAGCTGAGGCGAGACTGTTCTTGCAAATCAACCTCGTAGAAGCCAGGGCTGAATTTGTTATTAGGAACTTCCAATTTGGACAGTCACCAGGGAAGATCCTTGGAAACCAAGCCAAAGTCCCTTGTTTGTCCTAGTTTGGCTTGCCTTGGGGGCGGGAGGGGAGAGAAACAAGAGTTGGAGGCAGCTTCTGAAGCTACCTAAAGCAATTAGTTTAATACAGACATTTGACCAATGTGTCTCTAATTATGACTACATTCCCCAATGGCATGAACCTCAGATTACTGACATTTTTAACCTGCTAGTAGTTTGGGGGTAACTTGTGCTGTAGCAGTGTCCCATGACCAATATGGTCCCATTGAGATGGTCTTCGTTCTGCCCACTGCAGTCTGTTCTCTTCGCCCTCTAGGAAGAGCTGCTCTTTTGCCAAATAAGCAGCCACTCTGCATCATGGCAATGGCACAGAGTAACAACACACATCCATCTCATTTGCCCAAAGAAGCCTTGGGGCCTCCTACTGGTTATTACCTTGTGGGAAGAGCAGGCCACGTGTGGTGAGAATGTGCCTGGGTGCATCAGCAATCTCCCCTCATAAAGAGGATATTTTTCAAGTTGTGCATCCACAGATGTGTCCAGACTAGTCTAGGTGAACCCAAACCCACCTGTGGGTTGCTTGAACAGCTCCTGTGTCTTGGGACTGCATTCCGATGTTGAATATATTAAAGCCACAAACTCTTTTTTCAATTTAACGATCTCATTGTTTTAGGATTCAACTGGAGGAAGGCTCTATTGTTAACCCCTGAAGAAGGTACTGGACACAGCGGGCAAGGCCTGATTCTAACACGTGCAAGGGGCAACTGTGCAAAGGATACGAGTGGACAGACACTTTGATGGCTGTTCTTCTGATCAGGTTGAAAGGGCTGAATAACCACAGGGCCCGAGTGGCACTAAACCGTGAAATGGTCCTCTCTTTGTTGAGCACCATAAATGTCTACAACAAAACAAAAGAGAAGGTGGACCTCCAGTGAGAAACACACATCCTCCCCCAAACATGGTTTTCAGCATAAGTGAGATCACCTCAGGCTCAAGAGAGAACCCATGGGTCAATGAGAGGCAAACAGAGGGGCAGGGAGTTAGGGAGGATTAGGAACTAAAAGCCATATCCTCACCCTCCTAGCAAGACCCCAAGCCCCATGGCTGACTGCATCAAGGTGGGCTCCTGAGAGTGCCCAGTGAACAGGCAGCTGACCCGGGGGCTGGTGAGATGCATCGTGCCCAGGGTGAGGACTGGCAGCAGGAGAGTGGGGTTCTGGTTGCATGTAATTCCTCTTCTGATTAGTGGATCGTCCCTGGTCTATGATGGTCCTTCTGTTCTCCACCTCCTAGGTCTCCCCTTTTACACCCTCTACTGTTCCCTTCTCTGAGCATCTAGGGGGATGCAGGCTTTTAGCAGGTGAGAGGAGAGAAAAGACATTCCAGTGCCTTTTAATTTGCTCTACAAACCATATTTGAGATGATTCATTCCTGCCGCTCCCAACTTCCAAACACTCACACACCACTGTTTTCATCCAAGATACAACACAAACTGGATAATTGGCATGAAATAGCTCTTGTTTAAACTAGTGGTTCACAAACTTTGATTTCAGGACCCTTTTATACTCTTAAAAATTATTTAGGACTTTAAAGGTTAATGTTTATACCTTTTTGCTTATACCGTGTGTGTATGTATATGTGTGTGTATGTGTGTCTATAAGTGCGCGTGCGCGCATGTGTGTGTATACTATTAGAAATTTAACACATAGAAAATTTAAAAACACAGGCATATACAAACATACATTCTAGTAGACAGATGTGATCCTCCATCAATAGCCTCTGTGTTCACTATTACATGTTCATAAAAGTGTGACTGAAAAAGACAAATGACATCTAAGTATTGTTAAGAAATACTTTTGAACTCCTGAAAGGTTTTGGGAACCCCAGGGGGTTTTAGATCGTACTTTGAGGACCACTGGTTTAAATCACCCTGATTTTGGTTCCCCTTCCTTACTCTACCCACTACCTACCAGCCTCAAGACCTCTGCTCCCTGCTTGCAAAGAGAGCTAACACCTCTGAAAATTTGAGGCCACAACTCATCCAAGGAAACAGCCAAATTCCTCTGAAAACTCCGCAGCAGCCGTCACTGCTTTTGAGGATTGGGGTTTAATTAACCTCTACCATAAACACCACTGAGATTCAAAGACAGCATCAAGAAGGTGAGTTAGATCTATTTTTCATTAATGGAGTCCAGTTCACAGCCACATCAGCCAGGGTGCAGGAGGGCTCCCAGGCTGGGTGGGACAGAGGCTTCCTCTCCCAGAGCAGAGAACAGCCGTTCCGGCCGGCAGCCCTTACCCGGTGTGTACTGTAGAAGGGGTCCAAATCCTCCAAGGGCTCCCCGACCAGCTCTGCCGGGAGCTTGCCATAGAACTTGGGCAGCTTGTTGCAGGCTTTCAAGCATAGCTGTGGCCGAGACTTCTCTTCCTGGTCCTTCTGCTTCTTGGGCTTCTCTTGAACTTTCTTTGCCGCCTGCTTGGCAGCAATTCGTTTTTCAATAGCCACCAGGGACTCTGGAGTGAATCGACGGAAGTGGGGAGCTTGCGGGGACCCAAAGGGGAATTCCATCTTCTCATTCTTCTTCAGGAAGAATTTATACTCTTAGGAGGGTGGACATAACCACAGAGAGGTAACAGCGTGCCCACTGGCCCTTTCCCTCCCATCTCTCGCACCCTGATTGCTAGAATAGAACAGTTTCTTCCCCACCCTGTCTCCAGTTACTTCCTTAACTCACACTGAGCTCCCCCGGGACCTCACTGCCCCTGCAGCATGCTCAGGGGGAGGCTGTTTATTCCACCCTACTCCAGGTAACTCAGAGTCATGTCTACACTCTCTGTGAGCTTCCAAGTCATTGCCTCTTCATCACTTCGTAACACATCCCCACCAGATTCAACCATACTGCCCGCTCTCCTTGTTTCTAGGACCACTGAACAGCAGTCACTCTCCTGCATTCATCAAAAACTTCAGGTCATGGTCTACTTTATCTTGAGTCTCATCCTACTTTTTGACCACAACTTTTAATATATTTTTATATTATTGATTTATGTATTTTTAAATTAAAAAAATTTTATTGAAGTATGGTCAATTTAAAATGTGTCAATTTCTCAACATAACACCATTTGCAGCAACATGGATGCTCCTGGAGAATGTCATTCTAAGTGAAGTAAGCCAGAAAGAGAAAGAAAAATACCATATGAGATCGTTCATATGTGAAATCTAAAAACAAACAAACAAAACATAAATACAAAACAGAAACAGACTTATAGATATAGAATACAAACTTGTGGTTGCCAAGGGGGTGGGGGGTGGGAAGGGATAGACTGGGATTTCAAAATGTAGAATAGATAAACAAGATTATACTGTACAGCACAGGGAAATATACACAAGATCTTATGGTAGCTCACAGAGAAAAAAATATGACAATGAATATATATATGTTCATGTATAACTGAAAAATTGTGCTCTACACTGGAATTTGACATAACACTGTAAAATGATTATAAATCAAAAAATGTTCAAAAAAAGGAAAAAAGTGTCAATTTCTAGTGCACAGAAATTAACACATAATGTTTCAGTCATCCATATGCATACATATACATACGTGCCTTTTCCAATCTTTTATTTATTGACATTTTCAATGTTTCTCCCCCAATCTGAACTTCATTTGGACCCCTGGGCTAATTTCTCTTTGTCCATAGCTGAATACTTCTCTCCATATCCAGATCAGATCCCATGGTCTACCATTTTGACCACTTCCCTGTCCTTACGGTAAATGCCAAGTCTAGGTCAATCTAGATGAGTCTAATTCAGATTTCTCTGAATCTGAACTATTGAAGGGTGATGGGGAACATCGATGCCCCTTGGGAATCATAGGGTTTCTCTAGGAAACAGTTTATTCTAGTCTGATATTTCAAATACTGTTCATCTTTTCTGACTACTACTTCCCATTTCCTCCTGCAGTAAGATAATAATCATGCTCCCTACCTCACAAAGGAAACACAGCTCCCTCAACCTCATGCCCCCCAAGCCTCCAACTTACCTGTGTTTATGTGCTCCTTTCCTCCCTTCCTTCTGACACAACTGGGAGAATATCACCCCTCATTCTGACTGAGGCCAATCTTTTCCTTCTGCTTTGGATCTTACCTCTTCATTACCTCATTTCTCTCTCTCTGCTGGATCCTTCCTGTCAACATTTAGAGATGCTTAAGTCTCCTTCAGCTTTAAAAACTTTTACCTGATACACAGCCCGTCCAGTTCTTCCCTCTTCTCCTTCCATCCTCTACTGAGTTTCATAAAGAGCTCATTTCCACTCACTGTCTCAGGTCATTCTGCAGTTTTAGCAGCTTGACTTCTGTGTCCAATGACACACTAAAAGGCCTCCTTGCAAGGACAGCAGAGACCTTCCTGTGGCTGAATTCAGGGGGAACTTCTCAGTTCTGATTTTGATGGGGCTATTGGCTATTTTGACTACCCCTCCTTCTTTAACCACAGTCTGTCCTCAACTGCTGTGACACACTCAATCTCCTTTTCCTCACTTTCTCCCATATGTGACTATGACTCTTGGAGCTCTACATTATGCTTTTTAAATTTTTGAATAATGGTAATAATAATAACATCAACAGCACTGATAATACCTAGCATTTGCAGAGACCTACTACGTTCCAGATTCTGGATTAATAAATTTGCATGCATTAACATATTAACCATCACCGTACCCAATGAGGTATTATCTCTAATATATAAATGAGAAACCAGAGTGGCAAACTTGACTTTCCCAAGATCACAATGTTAGTAAGTGGCAGGACAGTTACTCCATCCTGGGTCTGTCTGACATCATCTCCTGAGAGCATTTCATCCATACCCGTGGCTTCAGTTCTCATCTATCTGCAGATGACTCCTGAGTCTTTATCTCCAGCTCTCATTATGTCCATGGGGCTCAGACCCTAATTTGGCATCTCCACTTGAATGTCTACTGGGCACCTCAAACTCAACATGCCCCAAATGGAACTTATTATCCTCTCTTCATCCTTTTCTAATCAATACCTGCCTCTCCTCTAAGGCTCTCTCCCTCTGTGAATGGCCCCAAATAGCCTATTTCTGTACTTGCTCACAACCTAGGTATCATCATGGTGTCCTTTCTATTTCATTCCCACATCCAATCAGACATCCAGTGCCACTGATTCCATCTCCTTAGTATCTTCTCCTCATGTCCCTTTAGCCTCTCCATCATATACTTGTGGTTCAATCACTGTCATCCAATTACCCACTATGCATCATTTTGCTTCCCCTTTAGTGCTTTTTCATCTGTTCTCCAACTGTAACCAAATGATCTTTCCAAAATGCATATATGGTTATAATATATTCTTATTTAAAATCCTTCTAAAGCTTCTTACAGCACTCAAGATAATCCAAACTGTGTGCTTAACTCTCTAGCACTGTGATTGCCAGACATACTTTTTTTATTAGTTTCTCCTTGAACCAGACCCATTCTTTTTCATTTTAAGACCTTTCTGTGTTCTATTTCCTTTGTATGAAATTATTCCCACACCCTGCTTTGCCTGATTAATCCCCTGTCATTCTTTAACTCTTGGTTTCGAGATAACTCCTCCATTTCTGCCCCTATATGAAGTCTGTGTTAGGTTCCCCATTTCATGCTCCCATAACTCACTGCATTTTCTCTATAAACCTGTGATTTGTAATTGCTGTTTGCTTTTCTATTTCTCTAACTAAATTGTAAGCTCAGTGAGGGAACACTTTATCTTTTTCAGCATTGATACTCCAGGTCCTAACATGTGTCTAGCATTTAGGAAATACTCAGTAGGCATTTGCTAAATGAATAATGTTAAACGAATATAAAGTTCAGAAACTGAAAAAACTAAAGACTGTTTTGTTTAGAAAAATACAGCAAAACCCACAAATCCAATCATAGGAAGACATAGAATCAAAGAGATTACTGAGTCTACTGACATTTTTTGGCTAGCACACCCCAAAGTCAAGGAAATGCTGGCAGAGACAGCTCTTGAAACTATATCCCTGTGATGAAGACCCTGGTCACTGCTGCCAGTTCTTCTATGTACTGTGCTTCTAGGAGAAGCCCTCAATCCTCTGACATCACTCCTCTTCATTAATGCCTTCCATGACTTTCTCCAGGAAACTTTCTCTTCCTCCTTTTCATTTCTCTGCCTTCTACCCATTTGTACTTGATTAAGGAACTTCCCAAAGTTTATCTACATTACAGGATTGAACATCTGTATTCTATCCTAGAAGTTCTGTGTGCTTCATGCTCATGTCCTGATTCATGTGATGTTTTTATGCGATGGTCACTCAAAGGGTGTTGACTTGATTGAATCCCATCAGTGTCTTTAATTCTTCCCTTCTGAGTAACAAGAGCTAAGTTAACTTTCTCTTCTTTGTCTAGGGGAGAAGAGCTACTTATATGTCAGAAACAAACTTACACCCCAGGACTCAGTTATACAGGAACAAGACAAGAACTTCCTCAGTGACACTGGAATGAAATGTTGAAGATTAAGTGCAGGACTAAGCCAGAATTCCAGGTGCTAGAACTGGAGTGTGGGGTCAAAGCAGACTCAATCATAAGGCTGACTTGATGCCAAGTGTCTGTAATAATTCTGTTGAATGGCCAAGGACCCAGTTGTTTTCAGTGTTAGAAGGTGGAATTATATTCACAGGTGGGAATTTGTAGTGATGTGATATAGGTACAATGGTCTAGTTCTTCTCCCAAGATTTTCCAATCAGGAGAGAGCTCTGGAATTGCAATCCCTTGATCACAGTGGTCTGTCTCTTTCCACCTATTGCTCAGTGATTTTACATGGCATCCTGAGAGAGACATTTGGGTGCAAGCAGTTTGAGAGTTAATTCCAGGAAACTCAAAGATGAGTGAAAAGGTAAGAAAGAAGAAAGCCAACAGTATTTTTATAATCAGATTACTCTTGTGGGCAACCAGGGCTCAGAACTGTTTCACTGAAGGATAAGGACATGGAGGTTTTATCTACCAGTCCCACCCCTCATGGGTTGAGAGTTATAATAAACTAATAATCTAGTAAGTAAAATGTTTATCTAAGTTCTTTGAGCTTCTCTAGTGAATTAATCAAACTCAAGGAGGGGGTTATGGGAACCGCTGATTTTTAGCCAGTTGGTCAGAAGCCTAGGTAACAAACCCGGGCTTGTAATTGTTGTCTGAAGATTGGGAGGCAGAATAAGTCTTGTGAGTTTTTAACCCTTGACGCTACCTCCAGGTAGATAATGTCTGAATTGAGTTGAATTGTAGGACATACAGCTGGTGTCTGGAGAATTGCTCCTGGTGGGGGGGGGGGGAGGCGGAAACACACACACACACATATATTGGAATTGGGTATTAGAACATCTTAGCAGGACAGAGTGTGCTTTCTCCTAGCTTCTGTTGTTCTTACTAGGAAAAATATTTCTCTGATCATACAGCAAATCTGAGTTGATCACAAAGATGGCTGAGACTCATGAGAAGAACTATTTAATTCATCAATCCATAGGAACAATAGCATTGGGCATAATTATCTCTTTTAATCCCCACAGAAATCCTTAAGAGTAGATAGAAGGTATTTTCTTCTGTATGAGAATCAAGAACCACTAGGGTCTGTGCTAATTATAAGTTATAAAGATATTAACTGGACTAAACAAGTTTGTCTCTGAGTCTTTTGAGTCCATATCCAATGTTCTCCCATTTCTGGGACAGTCTGGCTGGCTGAAGCAGTTCTGGAATCCTACTGACTGGGGCATCATTGGAGGGCTCTGGGACTAAACTGAATGCATTCAGATTTGGTGAGGTTTTTAAGGAGCCTCTTTTTGTCTTATATAGCTCACTGAGGCTCTTAAAAATCCAATAGAGGATGTTCTCCACTAATGCAGCATTTGTCCCTGTATGGCAGATACAATGTGGGCAAACAGATAATTACAGTTTTTCCAGAGCCTGATTAGTAGGTGAA